GTACTGGTAGGTTTATCACATGCACTTTTACGTAGGTTTCTTCATCTTAGGGTGCAACCCTGTGGAGACACAAATGTCTCAATCGCTTTGTGACACACAAAAACAGCATAAACTGTAGTGTGTCCCAATTGCGAGTCGCGTTTCCGTGACCATTACTGTATTTTTTATTGGTCAGCGTGAAACGCGCTGACGAATTGTAATCCGACTCGTCAATGTGAAAAATTCGCACGCGGCTCGAAATGTCAATGCACCTGGACAGCCTGCAATGCCAATTTCGTGCAGGAAAAAATCCCGCTCGTCGAAACCACACCCCAGCCAAGCGGTTGAAAAAAGGGATGTACAGTCATTTGTGTCACCCAAACAAATGCGCACAACTGTACATCTCGCCTGGTCGCCTAGAGTCGCGATACATTGGTTGTTTGTGACACAACATTTGGCAAATTTACAGGCGCGACTCGGGAAATCGGGGATTGAGACACAAGTGTCCCCGCAGGAATGCACCCTTACACTCACTAACTTCGAGATACCTACGGTATCACTAGATTGGAACACATCTACTACATTGCAAGCATGAAAGGACGAGTTGCCTTATTGAGACTGCTGTTGTAAAGCTAACAAACAACAAATCCCATGAAAAGGGTGGCTTATGTATAGCAAGCCTCGAACAGCAGGATTTCACAACCATTATATTGTTTGTGGGGTATTGGAAAGCAAACCATATATGGTCATCTATGCAACCAAGTTGGATCTAAGTTGGGTCTCTGTGGAGGGAAGAATCCGGTCCCCCACAAGGGGAAGCAACTAAGTCAGTGCAAGTGCATACGGCACTTTCTTGAGTGTAGGCGACACAACACATGGAGCAGATAAAACCAGGGAACGGCATGTCCCTTGGTTCTACGCTGGGGTATTGTGGAAGCAAAAATCCGGTCTGATTGAAGGCAACCCACTAATAACACTTCACGGAGCGTGTGGAGTCAGGGCGACTGTGAATGGCACAAACAAGGGGATGACAAAGAGGAAAGGATTACTCGCAAGTTCTGCCTCTGACGATTAGAGAACTGGAGAAGAAAGAGAAGCGGGAAGATAGAGCAGACAAGACAACGATGGAGAAAGATAGCTCAATCACTCACGCCGAAGAGTATGCATGAAGCGGTGCAACTTGTCTGATAGTCGCACCATACGGCCCCCCTTCACAGTTGTCCACATTGTAAGCATAGTAGCGCTGGCAATTCAGAGTGGTACCGATGTTGACAACAGCATAGCGAAGCATGACTTTCCCAGCCACTGCAGATGGGAACTGAGTGCACCCATTTGGGTTCAGGCGGAGGGTGTAGGGCCGGGAGGTATTGTCCTTTGCTGCTGGATTTGCAATAAGTGTGACACTGAAGGAACTGACTGTGAAGCTTCCTCCTGAGAAAGAACGGCAAAAAGGAAGGAGAGAGTGGGGCAAGTACAGGGAGGACAGAGGGTAGTGAGTGGGGAGGAGGGAATGCGACGAGTGGAGGGATGCGAGTGGGGCGAGTGAGAAGAGGAGAGAGTGGGGCGAACGAAGAGAGGAGAGAACAAAGAGCGGGATAAGCTCACCCGGGACACATACGGTGGCGGTCATGCCAGAGCCTTCAGGGCACTCGCAGGAAGGCACCTGCACCGAGTTGTAGCTGATTAGATCTAACATGTGGTTTTCATAGAATTAAAGAGAAACCTCACCCGCAACACAGTCGCTGGTGGTCATGCCAGAGCCTTCAGGGCACTCGCAGTAAGGCACCTGAACCGAGCTGTTAAAGAATGAAGGCACAGTCTTGCAGGTGGCTCCAGTCGGGCAGGCGCCACAGGGTGAGGCTGAGGGGTGGGGATGGGTGCAGTGCGGTATGTTAATGCAGTTGCAAGCACGGTCTTGGATGTGGCTCCTATGGGGCAGGTGCCACAGAGTGATACTGAGGGATGGGGATGGGTGCAGTGCGGTATGTCAGTGTAATTGCTGGAGGGGGATTTTGTCTCCTGTGGAATGCACAAGAAATGCACTCTCACTCTAGCAATGCACAGGATGGAGTAGAAGAAAATTGAACAAAGGATAGACAAAGAAATGCAAGTGCTAATATGAGAGCAGGAAAGAACTCACCCCACTTGCAGTAGCGCTCTCCGTTTTGATCCACCTCACAGGTGCCATCAGGCCCACAGCCCAACGCCTCACAGGCAGAGTCATCTGCTGTATAGGCGAAGAGAAAGGTGCAACAAACAAAGATATGGGAATGCCACCTCGCAGGTGCCATCAGGCCCGCAGCCCAACGCCTCACAGGCAGGATCTGAAGCAGAGAGGAGAGAAGCATGCGTGAAAGGCTGAAGGAGGCGGCAATCAAGAGAAGAAAATACGCATACCTCTCTCCTAAGGCCGTCCGACGACTTACTTATGCCTTCAGAACATGCTTCCTCATTGCGTGCAAGATTATGTAGAAGGCGATTTTTGAGGCAGCTAGCTAAAAAAATCACCTCAATGCTCATTTAGGGCAAAATCATGTGGAATGCGCGTCATTACAAGTGCAAAAACGAAGAAGAGAAAAGGGCTTGCCACGGAGGAAAGCATTGCTGCTTAGACAAAGCAGCATCAGAACCATACCCTTCCGTGACACACCCGAAAGAAAGATGTTCACCAGAAACACGCCCTTAAGTGTCAAGATCCTCAGAATCACACCCTGATATTCATACATTCCGCACCTGCTGTCGCTGGTGGTGCCGTTTCCTCCCCATAAGCTGGTGGTGCCGTTTCGTCTCCATACACTGAAGGCAGGCTACGGCGTGTCATGTGGTGTGTCATGCGGTGCGTCATGCGGTGTGTCATGCGGTGTGTCGTGCGTTTCACCGTGTCGTCCCCTTTCGCTGCCGTCATCATCTGAACTGCTGCAGAGGCCAAGGAAGAGGATGCGCAGAGAAGAGAAGAGAGAGGCGATATAAGGAAGCTGAGAAGAGGGAGATGAGAGGATCGAGCTGAAAATAGAGGCGAAGTGGAAAACAGAAGCGGGCAGGAAGGAGCGAGCAGGGAGGCGTACACCCGAGAGCAAACAAATCAAGGCAAGCGCTGATCACAAGTAAAAGCTCTTGACAGCAATGAGAGAAGGCAATGAGAGAGCCAATGAGAGAGCCAATAAGAGAAGCCAATGGGAGAAGCCAATAAAAAAGCCAATGCGAGAGCAGCAGACTGACCGCAGATGAGGGCAAGAGCGAGCAGCAGGAGTCCGGCAGGAGAGGCGCGCATCGTCCTCATGATGATGGGGGTCCCGCGGGAGAGGCGGCAGAAACGGCGGCGGAATAAGCAGCAGAAGAGGTGACCGGGCTATCGAAGAGGAGCAACAGAGGCGCGAAACAGGAGCTTTGTGCTACCACGTGCAAAGGCGAGTCTCGTGGGAGGGTGATGCAACCACAGGACAGAACCGATAGGAGAAGCCGAACGACAGGGATGGGAGAATAGCGGTGATTGCAAGCTGGGGAGAATAGCGGCTTGCTTTGGAAATGGTACTTTTGCTGAACTGGTGATTTATGATGGAAGCATGGCAGCCGCCGTGCCATCGTAGTTAGATCTAGCGTACAATTATAGGTGCGCGATGCGGGCTTGGCTCCAATGTGAGTCACGAGTCGATGTAAGCTAGAAATTGGAGGAAGATATGCGATATGCGACAGGCGATATGCGACAGGCGATGTGCAATATGGGTTTGGCGGCCTGCCATGCTTGCGATGAGACGAAGTAACTCTGAATCTGATGCGTGCGATGGCTTGGCGAAGGGCTCAACGTCGGGTGAATCGCAGGGACGAAATCATTAGGGAGGACGTGATGCCTTGCCGTGCACGAATTACGAAATCCAACTCACGCACGAATAAATCGCACTACGCAGTGTCCTGTCATGTTCGTCACTTCCTACTACCGTTTTCGGCTTCCCCACGGTAGGAATGCCCGACTAGGCGAAAATCTAACGAGACCAGCAGCTGCATTATATGTGCGACTTATCTGTTGGTCCGAGAGAGAGTGAGGGTAGTCGCAGAGAAAGAAACTTGTGAATCTTGCCTGGCAGGTCAGACTGTTAGTGATCCGCGTTTTTCTCCAAGGCCGTGTTTCCATAACACCGTGGAGCAGCCCATTCCGAGTCGGGGACGGGGTGCTGTGGGTAAATCGGGGTTGGGTCAAAATCGAAGGCAAAGGCGAATGCAGTTATGCGAATTCGCGAATCTTGTTGGGAGATTCGCTAGTTACACCCCACCACCGTGGCGAAATTGGATGGGGACGCTAATCAGCACCAGCAACACCATACCTCGCCATACTCCGTAGATATCTTCAGCTACAGATTCTGAAATGTATTCTCGCTCCAGGAGATGTTAGGAAGTAATTAGGTTCTGACGATCAAATCTATGGCGTCGCTACATTGCACGATCCGCACCGCCTGCCTCCTCCCCGCTACCCGCGCGTCGAGTTTTGGGGTTCCTCTGAGTAGATTATCGACATTGTCACGCTTAGCTGAGAAGAATAGTTTCAGTCGAGCATTTCGTCAATCAAGTGCTCCTATCGAGAGTTTACGTCGATCTCTAGAATCCCCTCCATCGCGCTTGTTACAGGAACACTTGTTTCGGTCACCTTCGTTACAATCACGCTCTGCGTCAGCACCTCCGTCGTCCATAGTGACATCGGCTGCGTCTAGAGAAGAATCAGCCACAGCATTAGGTGTTGCTTCGTTACAGTCGGCTCCGTTATACGATGCAGTTCTTGTAGACGTCGGAGGGACGCTACTGAAAACTGCCGAGCCCGTTCAAGACACGTACGCCGCATACGCCGGGAAATACGGTTCGTTATAAGATGAATTGTCGTTTCCTTTCTAGCATGTGGGTGATGGCTCTAATTTCACTCAACGATTGAGGAGATTAACTTTATGAGCACTCGATTTTGGCATCACGTGCGCAGGTGTGACTGTATCGGCGGATGAAATCAAGAAGGGTTTCAGGAGAGCGTTCGCGGAGCCATGGCCTCACGGTCTGAGATACGAGGCATGTTTCTGAGTATCTCGCTATGATTATGATAACTATAAGTACCATGGTTTCTAGTGCCATGCTTCAAATCTCGTTATTGCATATATCATCACAAGCATCATATTTTGCAAATTATCCTGTCATGTCTGTTTTGACCTTCGTGCTGACAGTAGAGATTTTGCTGCCCATGGTGGTAGAGAGTGAGGTCACTTCGGAGTCAGTAAGGTGGGAGTTACCGAGGTGAAGTCTCACTGCTAATCCTTCTCATTGTCCTACGCTTTGGATACCCCTCCCTCCCTCATTCTCCCACCTACCACCAGGGAGACGGGCGGCCGTTTTGGCGGCATGCAGTGGTCATGGCAACAGGGTCAATCAATGCATGCCTGTCTATCCCACCTTCTCATCTCCCCGTGCTTCCCCTGCCCCTGTGCCCACCACCTACCACCACCAGGGAGACGGGCGGCCGTTTTGGCGGCATGCAGTGGCCATGGCAACAGGCTCGGACAACCAGGAGTTGTTCGAAGACCTCTACCAGGTGGGTGGGTACCAGGTGGGTGGGTACCAGGTGGGTGGGTACCAGGTGGGTGGGTACCAGGTGGGTGGGTACCAGGTGGGTGGGTACCAGGTGGGTGGGTACCAGGTGGGTGGGTACCAGGTGGGTGGGTACCAGATGGGTGGGTATCAGGTGGGTGAGTACCAGGTGGGTGGGTACCAGGTGGGTGGGTACCAGGTGGGTGGGTACCAGGTGGGTGGGTACCAGGTGGGTGGGTACCAGGTGGGTGGGTACCAGGTGGGCGGGTACCAGGTGGGTGGGTACCAGGTGGGTAGGTACCAGGTGGGTGGGTACCAGGTGGGTAGGTACCAGGTGGGTGGGTACCAGGTGGGTAGGTACCAGGTGGGTAGGTACCAGGTACGGTTTCCATTCCATTTTTCTTCTTCAATTTCCGTGACTCTACGACGAGCTGACTGCACCTCACCTCACCTGTCATAGAGTCAACCGTACGGTCTACGCCAAGCTGACTGCACCTCACCTCACCTGTCGTAGAGTCAACCGTACGGTCTACGTCGAGCTGACTGCACCTCACCTCACCTGTCATAGAGTCAACCGTACGGTCTACGCCAAGCTGACTGCACCTCACCTCACCTGTCGTAGAGTCAACCGTACGGTCTACGTCGAGCTGACTGCACCTCACCTCACCTGTCGTAGAGTCAACCGTACGGTCTACGTCGAGCTGACTGCACCTCACCTCACCTGTCGTAGAGTCAACCGTACGGTCTACGTCGAGCTGACTGCACCTCACCTCACCTGTCGTAGAGTCAACCGTACGGTCTGCGTCGAGCTGACTGCACCTCACCTCACCTGTCGTAGAGTCAACCGTACGGTCTACGTCGAGCTGACTGCACCTCACCTCACCTGTCGTAGAGTCAACCGTACGGTCTACGTCGAGCTGACTGCACCTCACCTCACCTGTCGTAGAGTCAACCGTACGGTCTACGTCGAGCTGACTGCATGGAAAGTGGCAGAGGGTGCAGCGGAGCAGGTGGCGTGCGAACCGACTTGGTACTTACTCACTTACCCACTCACTCACTCACTCACTCACTCACTCACTCACTCTCCTTCCTGCTTTTGAGCCTCCTGTCCACCCATCTCAACCCGCACTGCCCGCCACGGCAGCATTATGAGAAGGCGTTGGCACAGAGGGTGGCAGAGGGTGCAGCGGAGCAGGTGGCGTGTGAACCGACTCGATATTCACTCACTCACTCACTCTCGTCCTGCTCTTGAACTAAACTTCCCCTCTTGGCAGCACTACGAGAAGGCATCAGCATGGAGGGTGGCAGAGGGAGCAGTGGATTCTCTCTTGAGACTCAAACAAGCCAATGGTGAGCCGAGGTTGTCAGGTTGTCAGGTTGTCAGCCGAGGTAGCAGAGGTGCAGTAGTGTGATTCTCTCTCCTGAAGTGACAATGAAAAGGCGGGAAAAGCTATTCGCTGAGGTGTTTTACTGATGTCCTGTCCTAATAACTATTGTTTTCAATCCAGCCGCTCACACTTTTGTGTTTTGAGGCGCCTCAAAAGTCACACTCGTGTTTTTTGCACTGTAACACTGAGTAGCTGCATTCCTGCATACGGTTCTCCCCGCTTCCTCCCTCCAGTCCGCCTTGCAATTGTTTCCAACTTTGACTCGAGATGCGGCCGATAATGCGGGACCTTCAAGTCGAGTTGCTGCAAGTTGCTTTGAATTGACTTTCCCCATTCCTTCCGCTCCCCACCATGCTCTACTCTCAGTCCGCCTTGCAATTGTTTCCAACTTTGACTCGAGATTGCGGCCGATTTTGCGGGACCTTCAAGTCGACTCGCTGTGAGTTGCTCCTTTATGGCAACTGAGGCGGCTCAATTGTGCAAGAGATTGCTCATTGAATTGCTATGTTGTTTGAGTTGCCACATCGTTTCTTTCTTTTTTTTTCATCTGCTTAAGTTATGCTCTTTAGTGCATCATCCTGTTCCCTGCAGGTTTGACGCCATCGTTGTGTCGGCTGAAGTTAGATACGAGAAGCCATCACCACAGATATTCGCCATTGCTCTTGGTCATTTTGTTGACTCCCTTGCCCTGTCTGTCCCCCCACAGGTTTGACGCCATCGTTGTGTCGGCTGAAGTTAGATGCGAGAAGCCATCACCACAGATATTCGCCATTGCTCTTGGTAGGGCGCTCTCTCTTTCTACTAAGTGAAGGGATGGAGTTTTGAGACGGTCCAAGGTCTCCTTACCCGTGGTCAGATTTGGGAAGAAAAAAAGGGTCACAAAGGAAAAGCTAAGCATCACGGGAGACGTTTGGAATTGCTCTTGGGAAGCTGCTCTCGCTCTTGACTGGGAGGAGGATGGCTTTTGAGTTGACTCAAAGGTCAATTGCTGTTGGGAAGCGGCTCTCGCTCTTGACTGGGAGGAGGATGGCTTTTGAGTTGACTCAAAGGTCAATTGCTGTTGGGAAGCGGCTCTCGCTCTTGACTGGGAGGAGGATGGCTTTTGAGTTGACTCAAAGGTCAATTGCTGTTGGGAAGCGGCTCTCGCTCTTGACTGGGAGGAGGATGGGAGAAATAGAAAGCTAGTGAAGGGGGTTCGTGGGGAACAAAGGCTTACCAAACCTTGATGTCTAAGTTGCATGGGGAACTTAACCTCGTTCCTTAGTAACTCTCAACTCGTGTGTATCTATCTGCCATCTCTTCCGTTTCTTTACCCCCACCAACCCTGCACTGGCCATCCCCTCCTACCCCTTCCTCCATCCCCTCTCCTCCCCACCATTTCTGTTGCTTTTCCACAACAAGCAACCAGGCGTATCATCTCCCAGTCGAACAGTGCACGTGGGGGATGATGCAGTGAATGGCTTAGAAGAGGCCCCAAGTAAAAGTGTCTCCTTGCGACCCCCTTGCCTCTTGGTTGCACCCACTTTCCTTTCCCACTTTTCTCCTAACCACAGAGCAACTCGGTGTATTATCTCCTAGTCGCGCAGTGCATGTGGGGGATGATGCAGTGAATGACTTAAAAGCGCGGCCCTGATACAATATTTCTCCATCTTCAACTCCCCCTCACCCCTCCCCTTTTCTTTGTTCCCATGTCCCATTCCTCCTTCTTCTCCTCCTCTCCTAGAGGAACTAGGAGTGTATTCTCCCGGTCGAGCGGTGCATGTGGGGGATGATGCAGTGAACGACCTGTAAGGGGCCCCAAGGAGAAGTGTGTCCCTGCGTTCCCCCTTACCCCTTCCCTTGTCTTTGTCCCCAGTTCTCACCTCCCCCATCACTTCTCATCTCCCAGTTGCGCAGTGCATGTGGGGGATAATGCAGTGAACGACTCAAAAGCGGCCCTGATACAATAATACTCCATCTTCTGCTCCCCCTTACCCCTCCTCTTTTCTTTGTTCCCATGTCCCATTCCTCCTCATTCTCCCCATAAAAGAGGAAATAGGAGTGTCTTCTCCCGGTCGCGCGGTGCATGTGGGGGATGATGCAGTGAACGACTTACAAGGGGCCATGGATGCTGGCCTGCATGCATGGTGAGACGCGATGACATGTGAGGTTGGTGATTGACAGTAGAGAATTTGGCGTACATGTATAATTTATGGAGTAAAATATTTGCAAGGGGCCACGGAAGCTGGCCTGCATGTATGGTGAGCATGGAGAGTGCGACATAAGGAGTTAGGGAAAGTGGAAGTGCACGTCAAGTCATACGTATACTGTTTGATGTTAATGTTCTGTTTTGCATTCTTTTTTGTCTTTGAACAGGTTATGGAAACAAGACGTTAAATCTTTTGACGATATCACACGACGAGTCCTTGGGATATAGATTGGGTAGAAATGAGTGGTTACGTACAGTAATGTGTTAGCGCTTGTAATTACATTATTATTTGAGCACTTTTTATCTCCGACTCAAGTACTTTCATGATGTGATGGTTTAGAGTCCAGCAGGGCTGGTCACTATCGCGTACGTAATGCATCACGTCAGTCAGTTGATCGTGAACCAAACACCAACCAGGTCTTCGTAAATGTTACTTCCTATGTTCGCAGATGTTACCGTAACGTGACATTGTTCGCCGAAGGCGGAGGTCCCAAGAGTCCTCGAATCCACCGAACACCACGCATGTATTTGGCACTGACAGCCTACCAACTACTAATTGGTCCTACCTAATCCCCGCGCCCGCGGCTCGTAGAGTCCCTCACTCGTCGACATCGCATCCTCCAGTTGTCCACGTGCAGCAAGTCTCGGTTGCCGCGAGACTCGTGTATATATTTGTGGTCTTCGTTAGAGACGCCTGCACGCTAACATTCATTTATTTATTATTTAGTGCGTGTCATTCTTCCGAAGCCGTCCATTTGTAGTAAAAAGCAATAAGCGTTGATCCGCCTGCTGGTTTTTCTAGCTAAACCCAATCAATGGCGACAGCCACCACGTGCCAGTCGTTAATCTGCGGGTTGGGAATCCTCGCGTGCTCGTGCTCTTTCGTCGTCGGCGTGCTGATCGCCGCGAGGGAACCACCCGAGAAGCTCAAGGTATTTCAGGACTTTTGAAAACAAATTCGAAACTCTCAAGGTATCACCTTCGTGTTCGGAGGCGCCATGTATCTAACGTAGTCTACGTTATTAGGCTATCGTACAGCTCTGACACGTCTCAAGGTTCCAGTTTTCAGCCCCACATACAAATCTCGTGTTACATTCTCTCTTCTATTATTCATCCTCATCGTCCCAGTCGCTGTCGTCTCCGTTTCGTTCCGTCTTTTGACCAAACAACCACCACCGCTTCCATCCCTCCTCGCCCCCTCCCAGATCGACAAGTTCGTCCCTGACGTCGAATCCCCGTATCGGCCATTCTTCAAGCCGCCGTCTCTCCTCCACGCATCCAACAACCCTTCTTCTAGCTCCAAGTCTCTCAGCCTCTTCGGCAGCTTAAAGCCCACTGAGGTCTTCGCTGAGACACAGCCGCCAGAGCTTCAGCACATGGGGGAGGAAAAGAAGGAGAAGATTCCGAGAAGCTGGCTGGGACGAGCAGGGGATGGCCGGGGGGTTGGGCGAGGAGAGAAGGGAGGGAGGGGAGGTCGAAGTATTCGTGGTGACAGCGACGGCTCCTTTCGGAGCGAGTTGACTTTTGAGTCGACTCAAAAGGGAGGGAGGGGAGGTCGAAGTATTCGTGGTGACAGCGACGGCTCCTTTCGGAGCGATCGCCTATCAGGTCGTCCAAACAGCTCTCATCCAAACAACTCCTACCAGGACCGGCCCGTGCAAGGATACCCGCGGAATAACTCCCAGGGGTATTCTCAAGGGTATCCCCAAGGGCATTTCCAAGGTTATTCTCAGGGGTGTTCTGAAGGGTATCTGCAAGGAAATGTTAACGGGTACTCGCAACGGGGTGATCCCAGGCTAGCTGTGTACTCAACCGCTTCGCGGCCTGAGACGGCCTCACGCCCTTCCACCCCCTCCCACCCATCCTCACCGCACTCATCGGCCGCTGCTCTCCCTTCCCCTCCCTCGCACCTCCAATCGGACCCACACCAATGGGGAGGCCCGTCTCACCCCTCCCATCTTAACTCCCCACGCACTCCCTCTTACCACTCTCAACCGTCTCACCCCTCTCACCCTCCTCACTCCTCCTATCCCTCCTACACACCTCACCCTTCCACCCCAACTCACCTAAACTCCAATTCTCCCTCCCCATGGGCACCTTATTCCCCTCACCCTCCATCCCCATCCATGCGTCCTCATGCCTACACGCCCCCAATCCACCACCATCACCACCCCTCCACGCCCTCCCACCCCTCCTCGAGGCCTCATTACCCCTCCCACATGCCCCATCCCTCGCAACACCCACCTTATCATCCACAACACCATCAATCATATCAATCACCTGGGTACCCTCACCAGTCATCATACCCAAGACCACCCAACTACCAGGGTTATCCGAACCATCCAAGTGCTGTAGCAGCAGGAGTAGGGGGTCCTTCTCCCTATGCCAGCCACCCGGGAACCCCCAGGACTCCAGGTTGAATCTCGAGGCACTGCAAAGCTGTAACAGCAGGGGTAGGGGGACCAGGTTGAATTGCAAGGCACTGCACTGTTGTAACAGCAGGAGTAGGGGGTCACTCTTCCTTTGCCAGTCACCCTTGCACTTCCATGACTTCAGGGTGAATTAATATGGACATAGTTTAACCTGGAGTTCTATTACGGACTCCCGAACTTCATTACAAAGGGCATACGGAGAGCAGCCTAACGAGCAGCAGCAGGGAGAGCAGATGGAGGGGTTGTTCTGGGGATAATGGAGGGCCTCCTATGGTTGTGCTCAGGGTTCTCGTTATCAGACCAATTTGGTCTGATGGTCTGCGTTTAAGACTGGTTTTTTTGTATTCATCTTAATCCTAAGATTTTGTGTTTGTTCTCATCTGATCAGCAAGATTTGACTTTTAAGTTCGTACCGTCACCCCCCGGATATAAGCGCCACCCTAGGATAAGCGCCTGGCGCTTCTAATTGGCATATGGCGCTTATATCCCCTCCTCGATTATAAGCGCACCCCCTGAAAAAACTAGTTTTATTATAAGCGCACGTAAACTTTAAAATTTGAAATGTGTACAAAACGTTGTAATGATTTTTACTTTAGCAGGCAGATATGTTGCAGATTCGGTTCCCTTCACATTCGGACCCTGCACTGGATGCGGGTCCAGTCAGCAGGAGCTGTCAGGAGCTGGATGTGAGTCAGATTGGGTGTGTCTCCCAGCGCGCGCGAGAATTTCACAGACGACCCCATGTAAATTCGACTCGATTGAAAGGGCAAGCACGAGACCTACAGTTTGGTGTTAAAAAATATAAAAAATATGAATGTCATTTTATAAACGCCGGCGCTTATAACTTTACTCGATTATAAGCCCACCCCCTTGAAAAAACATGTTTTATTATTGCCCCCCATGGGGGTATATCCGGGGGGTGACGGTATGATTTTTTCAGACGTGTAGAATTTTTTATCTGAGGATACAGATAGCGAGTTCAGTTTCGTCTGAAACCGACAACTTGACCCACTAGGCCATAGGCCCAGTTGACCAGAGGACAGGACCACCACAGGTACAGCCGATTGCTGCCTTGTAACTGCACGCGCATTCATTACGCGTGTCTTATACAGCTCTGTAACTGGCCTTGTGCAGCCTCGCTGTAGGCTGACTTGGTTTTTTTTTTTCGTCTAGTTTATCAGACTAGGAAAAATATTTCAGCTTATACTGCAGACCACAAAAATTTCGTCGTCAAAGCCTAAGACGGGGAAAATGTTTTTGAGGGTACTGTCAGACAGGCCCTAAACCTAGCGAGAACCCTGGTTGTGCTGTGCTTACTCCGGTTGCTGTTCGTACTGTAGAGAGTAGCATATCGACTGTGCTGGTACTAGCATAACCCTTGCACGCTGTGATGTTTATAAGTGGAAAAGAAGGAACGCTCATGAAGGTGTAGAGAAGACACCAAGCTTCCACAATGAGTTTGTAGTGCGCATCACTTGTTTGCCAGTCACAAGGACTAGGACAATATATGCTTTACAGTGCAGCAGTGTAAAGTCACATGTGGGCTGCCTCTAGCATGAAATCGCGTGTTAGTGTGGCGAATGTTGCCATGCGCTCGCGAGTGAACAGAGGCGTGACGAACACGAAACTCAGCCGAAGGACGCCGTCCTGCAAGGTGGGGTGGGGATTCAACAGGAAGATGTTATGGTACATCTCAAATGCTGTAAGTCTCAAATACCATAACTCCCACGAAGTATGAGAAGAAAGAAAAAACTGGCAACAAGCTCAACAGCAGGCTGTGCATTAACAAGATGATCGCTGTAGAAGGGTTAGTTTAGGTGAATGAATGTGGTTCTCTCCGGAAGGGTGTCTGGAATGGCAATGGCTGGGCCGACCCCATGGGCAGACACAAAAGGGACAAGCACTTGCTATTCTCTCTAGAAAGTAATTGTTGGGTGAATGAATGTGGTTCTCACCGAAAGGGTATCGGGAATGGCTATGGCAGGTCCGACCCCATGGGCCGACACGACAGGGCCAAGCACCTGCTCCAGTTGTACCAGCTCCTGCCCCATGCCTGTCAAGTGAGTTGCCTCGGCCCGAGCCTCCGCGCCAGCTTCGGCATCTGATTTGGATAGCTGCCAGTTGACCTTGAGGGGTGCGAGCATGCCGGCCGTGATGAAGCAGGTTCGGAGGGAGTGGTCCGGGGAGAGGCTCGGCATCTTCATGGCCTGGAAAGCAAGAACGGAAAAGAGAGCAGCAAGCAGAAAATGAGATGGCCAAAATTCGGGAACAAAATTCGGGGACAGAATTCGGGAACAGTATTACAAGTTGCTTGCTGACATGGAATCTCTGTACGCTGGTCCAGGAAACCTGGAAACCTGAAACTAAGAACAGTAGATTCCGGTGAGTAGGTGTGTAAGCTCTTCCTTCACTCCATGAATACCTGTCTGTGAACTTCCAGTTGACGTATGATTTTGTTCAGTTGTAACCCGTACATCCTTCCAGATGTAACCCATAGTTTGTTGCAGTTGAAACCCTTGAATCCCCACGTACTGATTCTGTTGCTGCTGCAATGCTGAGTAGCACCAGCCGAGCACGACTGATGTTAACTTTATCCTTCTCAGGTGCTTTATCCTTCTCAGGTGCCTTTTCCTTCTCAGGTGCTTTTTCCTTCTCAGGTGCTTTTTCCTTCTCAGGTGCTTTTTCCTTCTCAGGTGCTTTTTCCTTCTCAGGTGCTTTTTCCTTCTCAGGTGCTTTTTCCTTCTCAGGTGCTTTTTCCTTCTCAGGTGCTTTTTCCTTCTCAGGTGCTTTTTCCTTCTCAGGTGCTTTTTCCTTCTCAGGTGCTTTTTCCTTCTCAGGTGCTTTTTCCTTCTCAGGTGCTTTTTCCTTCTCAGGTGCTTTTTCCTTCTCAGGTGCTTTTTCCTTCTCAGGTGCTTTTTCCTTCTCAGGTGCTTTTTCCTTCTCAGGTGCTTTTTCCTTCTCAGGTGCTTTTTCCTTCTCAGGTGCTTTTTCCTTCTCAGGTGCTTTTTCCTTCTCAGGTGCTTTTTCCTTCTCAGGTGCTTTTTCCTTCTCAGGTGCTTTTTCCTTCTCAGGTGCTTTTTCCTTCTCAGGTGCTTTTTCCTTCTCAGGTGCTTTTTCCTTCTCAGGTGCTTTTTCCTTCTCAGGTGCTTTTTTCCTTCTCAGGTGCTTTTTCCTTCTCAGGTGCTTTTTCCTTCTCAGGTGCTTTTTCCTTCTCAGGTGCTTTTTCCTTCTCAGGTGCTTTTTCCTTCTCAGGTGCTTTTTCCTTCTCAGGTGCTTTTTCCTTCTCAGGTGCTTTTTCCTTCTCAGGTGCTTTTTTCCTTCTCAGGTGCTTTTTCCTTCTCAGGTGCTTTTTCCTTCTCAGGTGCTTTTTCCTTCTCAGGTGCTTTTTCCTTCTCAGGTGCTTTTTCCTTCTCAGGTGCTTTTTCCTTCTCAGGTGCTTTTTCCTTCTCAGGTGCTTTTTCCTTCTCAGGTGCTTTTTCCTTCTCAGGTGCTTTTCCTTCTCAGGTGCTTTTTCCTTCTCAGGTGCTTTTTCCTTCTCAGGTGCTTTTTCCTTCTCATCTCAGGTGCTTTTTCCTTCTCAGGTGCTTTTTCCTTCTCAGGTGCTTTTTCCTTCTCAGGTGCTTTTTCCTTCTCAGGTGCTTTTTCCTTCTCAGGTGCTTTTTCCTTCTCAGGTGCTTTTTCCTTCTCAGGTGCTTTTTCCTTCTCAGGTGCTTTTTCCTTCTCAGGTGCTTTTTCCTTCTCAGGTGCTTTTTCCTTCTCAGGTGCTTTTTCCTTCTCAGGTGCTTTTTCCTTCTCAGGTGCTTTTTCCTTCTCAGGTGCTTTTTCCTTCTCAGGTGCTTTTTCCTTCTCAGGTGCTTTTTCCTTCTCAGGTGCTTTTTCCTTCTCAGGTGCTTTTTCCTTCTCAGGTGCTTTTCCCTTCTCAGGTGCCTTTTCCTTCTCAGGTGCCTTTTCCTTCTCAGGTGCCTTTTCCTTCTCAGGTGCCTTTTCCTTCTCAGGTGCCTTTTCCTTCTCAGGTGCTTTTTCCTTCTCAGGTGCTTTTTCCGTGGAGAAGAGAAGCACGAGAACTGGCATGTTGGTGAACTGCTGCTACCACTACTGCTGCAGGGCTGACTCGCACCAGCAGAGCACTGTTACTATGAACAAGTGGATTCTCCCTGTTGTAACCCGTGAATCCCCACGTACCGTGGAGAAGAGCAGCTCGAGAACTGGCATGTCTGTGAACTGCTGCTGGCGCTGCAGCGCTGACTCAGCATGGGCGCTGATTGACGTGGCAACGTCCCAGAAGGGCAGCTTCTCGGAAACCTCCTGCTTGAGAGGCAGCATTGACATGTACTCGCCCAAGGCGGTCTGGGGAAGGGGCGGGTCGAGAATGGTGCGGCAACCAATGGCGCTGGAGGGGGGAGGGTGGGGAGGGAATAGTTGGGAGGAAGGGGGGAAAGGGTGGGGAAAACGTAAGGGAAACAAATTGCAAGATTTCATTTGAGAAGCAGCATAGACATGTTTCTCAAGCAAGGCGGTCTGGGGATGGAGCGAGCCGAGAATGGTGCGGCAGCCAATGGCACTGGAGAGGGGAGGGTGGGGAAAAAGGGGGTAGGGTGGGGAAAAAGGAGGTAGGGTGGGAGGAAAATGGGGGAATAGAGGAAGAGGAGGGAAGAGGGTGAAGAGGCAGATCGGACTGGTTTTCGCATTGCTGCAGCTCAATCAGTGCATACTTCATTGATTTTCTCGTTCATGTTCTGTCAATTTGCCTCTGTTACATTCGTTGATTCAGTTACTGATTCGCTGATTTTATTCTGTCATTGCATCTCACCTTCCCAGGCTGAAAACTTCAGTTCTGCCGCCCAGTTGCTTCATCCGGGCGGCAGCTTTGAGCCCTGCTGCGCACTCCAGGGAGAACAGGGAGCACCCGTGCGACTCCGCTGCGGCCAGAAGGGCGGACGTTTCTGTCGTTTTGCAATAATGGAGGGTGAACGTCGGAAAGAGAAGGGAAAGCGGCGAATATAAGTGAGTTCGAGGACTTTGGGAAGTGGTACAGATGTGTATACTAGTCATAAAGGATTGTTTGTTTGGGATTGAGAGCGGCTTACCCTCCTTAGTGAATGTGACTGTAGCGAATCGCGTCGTAAACGAATTCTTCCTCGAGTCAGCTCGCCCGGGCTCGAAAGGAAGGTGCGAGGAAATGAGGGCGTTGCGCACGTAACCCACGGCGTTGAAGGCTTGCGCGAAGGTGCCTTTAACGGATGAGCTTTTAGCGGAGAGGGCCTTGGGGAGGAGCGCAGCGAGGGGAGGAGGAAGGGAAGGTGCGGCGGTCTGATCTTCAGAGGACGAGAAGGAGGAGGAGGAGGGAGATGGGGAAGAGGAAGGAGAGGAGGTAGGGGAAGAGCAGGAAGGGGAGGATGGGGAGGATGACGAGTCGCGGTTCAGATGCTTCTTCACACGTCGCAGTTCTTCCAAGAATTCCGCCGCGATGGGCGGCGCCGAATGCTCGTCCAGCGCGGCGATGTGCGAGCGGAGCGCGACGAGCGTGGACGAATGGGATGCGTACACGTGGATCTGGAACACGTCAACAGACGCCTCGCCCTTATCTCTATTATTCGTAGCCCCAGGATGATCCCGACCGTCGACCATGGGCGTGTTTAGCTCCGATTCGACCACACGATGCAACATTCCATTCTGACAATCTGACTCGTCCGCCGTTGCCACGTCAGCAGTGTCACATTCGCGCACGGTGATTGGTTGGGGAGGTCGGCACACGTGGAGCTCGGGCTGGTGGGACTTGGGCGGCTTGATTATCCGGGCGGACAGGACGGGGTGCCGGGCAGACAGAGTTTCGATGGCTGCCCGAACCTGCGAGGTGAGGAGGGAGGATGGTGTGCAGATGTAAGAATGACAGAATTAAGAATGGCGGAATGGGGGACGGCGGGAATGATGGGCGGAATGGGGATGGTGGAATGACGGGAGGAACGCGGGAAGCTGGAGCGGAAACTTATAGCACGCAGATGCTTACCTCGTCGATGCTGACGTGGCCGGAGATTTGCAACCCCACAACACAGACGCCAGTGCCGCCATGCATTGCGCGCCACCACAGCTCCTCGTCGCCGGTCAACGGCCGGCTAATAGCTGCCGGTCCGTCAACTCCACATCCCTGCCGGCCGCATGCTGGCAGAGCAGTGGCTGCCGCGCCGGCGCCGCCCCATAACCTTGAGATTGCCGAGGCTTTCGCGGCGGCGCGAAACTCCTGGGATTTTTCTGACGAAGTAGAATGAAAAGCGTTTGACACGTGATGATCGAAATTGGTGGATTCGGGGTTGACGGGGCTGTTCTCATTCTGCAATGGCGTTTCATGCGAATGGGATGGCGCAGACAGGTCGAAAGGGGAGGCATCTTTTACAGAGCAAGGATGGGACCAGGAGCGGTCTGGCGTTAACGGTGACGTCGGTGATAAGCGACTCGAGTCCATGGCGGTTTGTCGAGTCGAAGTAGACGCAGGATGCGAGATTTACCAACAAAGGTCCCGGGCTGAGGCAGCTAATAAGGTATGCGTAAGCAAATCAAAGTTCAAGAAGTGATGAAAGCGAGTTGATGAAGACCTATGAAGCGAAGGAATGAGTGACAGGAGATACTGCTGGGCAATAAATACTTGCACCAGAGGAACTACCAGGTCTGAAGGCGCATTTTGAAGCACTCTCTCTCGTCTCATCCAGAGAGAGCCAAATTCCTTGTGTATCCGCTGATTTAGTACGGTTCAGAGAGGTCTTGATCGTTGCTACGTGGCGATCCAAGTGATGCTTTGTTCTGTCAGTCGCCTAAAAAAACGGAACATAGTTCCCGAGGCGCACAGCGCTGGGCGTGGTCTTTCACATGGGAGCCTTGCTGTCGTCGCGACTCGATTGAACACGTGGGAATACACGATGCCAACAACTACCGGTTTATTCGAGCAACTCAAAATTTGACGGACCGTTCCTCGAGCTGGATTCGACCAGTACGATAAGGCATTCTCGGACAGCCAGGCGACGAGACGAACTTCGCATTGGCTGCAGCATTTTGCTGGCAGCCCCTTGCAACGCTGGGACGAATGATCAGCAGTGATTGGAGAGGGCGATGATGGTGAGAAGTGCTTGGTCGTTGTGCTCTGCTCAGCTACAAAAATAACAGCACTCATGCAAGGCGATTTTCATATCGGGTATAAATTGGTAACTCACGAATAACTAAAAACAAAACAAGCAATACGGCTCAATCAAACCCATATTATGTGCACGGTATAACAAATCTAAGCTGTATGGTGCAGTGCAAACTAGTACGCTCATTGCTAGGTCTAATGCGGTGAAGCATGGTATCACACACATTGGCACGCAGGGGTGACTGTGATGCTGGAAATCTAGCCGGAAGCTTGATACGGTATCCTCGGTTACTTATCGGCACCAAAAATGGCATAATAGTATGCCTTAGAACTAGAAAAACTCCACTACGATGTTCTAAAAAATAGAAGCACTTGATCATTATTCATTCAGCATTTGCTTATTCTTTATTCAGTTATGATGATGTGTTTGATCCTGTAAGGAATTTTCTCGGCATTCCTTACGGAGCCCGACTACATCGCGTACAGCAACAGCCGTTGTTCGCCCGTTACTGCTAACAGGACTTCGCCAACTTCGCGCGCACTGTTTTGCCAAACCTCGCACTGCTGGCCCGACCGTGTCGGACTACGCTTCGGGACTAGCCCGAGCCTCGCTGCCATCGTAGCACTAGCTAGCTCGCACGCACCGCGTTACCGTTTGCATGTTTCGCATATAAATGTTCGCTCATGCCTTCGCTCACATCTTTGTACTTGTTTTGACACCTTAGTGCAATTCTCGCTACTTCGATTCATTGCACCCGTAACACTTGGTATTCAGAGCCCTTTCTTTCGGACCGCGCATCTCCGCACCCCATGAAATCAACTTTTGATTTTTCACTCGAAGGGACTCACGCACCTTAGCACCTAGGAGCCGCTGTCCTCGCGTTCTCTCGTAAACGCGTGCAGCCACGACTGCGCCTAGACTAAGACGAGCCGGCACCCTTCGAAATGGCCGAACACATTGATATCACTGTCAGAATGAGAAACGAGAATGAATGACTAGAATGAGAGTTGGGTACAAATAGGTCAAACCTAACCCTAGAAATGTGTACCCACTATAGGCTAACCCACTGTAGCCTAAACAAGCACAACATACAATGTTTGACACACCCCCATAGGCAAAGTGGGGGAGAACAAGGGGTCACAAGACCAGTCAAAGCAAAACAAAGCTCAGGGTGGATCTCAAGGATACCACACAAGTTCCGAGCACAAGCAAGCGGTCACAAGACCAGTTCACATGCAGATTTATAAAAGAACAAGAGATACAGTGATCACAACCTAGCAAGAGTAAGCATGCAGGTATATATATATAGAGATCACTGTACAAGCAAAGTCAAGAAGTGAGCAAATGAGGGACAGTAGGAACGAGGCCTAGAACAGTACAAAAGCGCTGATGGTCACAAGGCTGAAGCGCCTTGGTGAACACGTCAGCAGTGTTGGCCCGAGTAGCCACGTAACGCAGACAAAGCTGACCTCGCTGCTGCAGCTCTCGAGCAAGAAAGTAGCGCAGAGCAATGTGCTTCGTCCTGTGCTCCAGTCTGTGCTCCCCACACAAGGCAATGGTGGCCTTGTTGTCGACGTACAAGCATTGGAGGAGAACGAGGCTACTCTCCAAGGTCAGTCAGCAGGTAGGTGAGCCAGCGAAGCTCCTGGGCAGCCATGGCCGTGGCGTAGATCTCAGCCTCACAGCTGGAGCTGAGAACAGAAGAAGAGCGAGTAGAACGCCAAGAGACAGAGCCAGAGCCAAGGCTGAAGGTGTAACCCTGGGACGACCGCTGAGTAGCCTGGTCGTCTGCCCAAGAAGCGTCTGAGTGCCCAGTGAGAACAGGCCGGTCTCGCCCTCCAAGCACTAGCCCCATGCCCGACATACTGCACAAGTAGCGCAACACCCTCTTAGCTGCATCCATGTGCTCCTTCCGGTGACGGCCGGGAGCGACATAGCGTGCTAAGATGCTGAGAGGGTATGGAAGGTCAGGTCGAGTGCAGGTCATCAGGTACATGAGGCAGCCCACAAGCTCTGGATACGGACCACTCGGCTCTACCGACTCATCCGAAGGCAGAGCTGAGAGCGAGTGTCCTGTAGGCAGAGGAGTGGACTGAGGCGAGGAGTACGTGAAGCCGAAGCGCTGAAGGACCTGCTGCACCATGTGTGACTGAGTCAAGGTGATGGTGCGGCGTGCTCTGTCCCGGGTGATCCGCAAGCCAAGATAGCTTGTCACTTCACCCAGGTCTGTGCACGTGTGTCTCTTCTGCAGCTCGAACTTCACGTGAGCGAGACCAACTGTGTAAGAAGTGGCAAAGACCAAGTCGTCGACGTACACGAGGATGTAGAACGGCGACAGTGAGGGGTCGGTGCGTAGAAACAGCGACGGGTCAGCAGTAGAAGGAGCGAACCCAAGAGCCGCAAGTGTAGTCCTCAGTGTGTCGTGCCACTCACGTGGCGCCTGGCGGAGACCGTAGACTGGCCGCCGGAGGCTCCACTGGGTACCAGGAGGGAACGACCCAGTGAAGCCAGGTGGGCGGCGCAGCCAGATCTCCTCGTGCAGGCTGCCCTGCAAGAAAGCTGTGCTGAAGTCAAGAGAGTGGAGCTCGTAGTCACGCTGAGCGGCGACGTGTAGCAGCACCCGAAGAGTGGTTATCTTCGGGGTCGGGGAGAAGGTCTGGAAGAAGTCAACTCCCTCTCGCTGACTGAAGCCTCGTGCAACGTAACGCGCCTTGAAGACAGGCGGAGAGCCCGGCGGCCGCTTCACCCTGAAAATCCACATGCCACTGACGATGTTCGCCCCAGGTGGGGGAACCTCGTCGACGTAGGTGCCAGTGGACTTCCAGGAAGCCATCTCTGTGTCCATGGCTGACTGCCACTGAGAGGAGTAGGGACCGGCCATCGCCTCTGCGTAAGAGCATGGGGTCGGGATGTCTGGTGCATCCGGGTCTCCCTCAGGGGCAACAAGCATGGACACGAGATGGGGCAAAGCAGCGGCAAGGCAACCAAACTCCTCCTGCCTGTCCTCAAGAACGTCCGTGCCAAGAGCACACTCACCCCCGATGGACGGAGGACAGACAGACTCAGACTCAGCAACAAGACTCGCAGCGTAGTCTAGACGACACGCAGCTGCAAAGTCGACAAGCTCAGTGACTAAGGCAGACGCAACAGCGGATTCAAAGGAAGGGTCTGTGACAACCGTAGCCAGGAGACGTGTGATAGTAGGACTGGCAGCGCGAAGGGTGTCTGACTCCGGGTCAGCAAGAGCAGGAAGAGAGGACGCAGGAGGCGACGGGAGAGCGACACGCTGCGGAGTAGTGGACTGACGAAGCGCCATCTGGTGAGTGCCTAGGACAGCAGGAGGACGCTGACTCTGGACACGACTACCAGTGGTAGCAGCACGAACAGGCGATGCTCGACGAGACGCAGGTGACATAGGACGTGACGGAGGCTCACGTCTCTCAGCAAGACCGTCAGTCGGACCAGTGTAAGGAGTAGGCACAGGGAGTGGGGAGGCAGGCGGTAACTGTGGCTGTGACTGGACAGACGACGGACACTCTAAGGCGAGAGGAGGACAAGGAGGAGGACGCTGACCAAGAACCTGCTGAAGGAGCGGAACGAAGTACGGCCGTGGCCGTGCAGCAACTCTCGAACCAGCAGAGACACCAGCGGCAGGGTCCGCAGCACCAGCAGAAGCTCCACCCTCCGGGTCCTCCACTCCAGCAGCAGCAGCAGCACCTCCAGCAGCACCAGCAGCACCTCCAGCAGTAGCAGCACCTCCAGCACCAGGGTCCGCAGCACCCGCAGCAGCTCCAACGCCCGGGTCCTCAGTACGAGTAGCACCTCCAGCAGCACCGCCAGCAGCAGCAGCACCTCCAGCACCAGGGTCCGCAGCATCCGCAGCAGCGTCAACTCCGGGGACCCCAGCATCAGCAGCTCCACTCCGGAGACTGATGTGCCGAGCGTACCACTCTCGAAGCTGTGGGGAAGAGGGCGGCTCCCGCCGTGGTGGGGAAACACGAGTACCAACTCCAGTAGCACCACGAGCGCGAGACGCACCCCGCCGGAGGCTGCAGTACCGTGAGTACCACTCACGTAGCTGCTGCGAAGAGGGAGGTCCTCCAGGCGCCTCACAGTCAACTGCAACACCACCAGGCTCAGCACCCCCTGACTCAGCAACGCCATGCTCAGTACCCTCAGACCCAGCACCCCCAGGCTCAGCACCCCCAGTCTCAGCACCCCCAGGCTCAGCACCCCCAGGCTCCGCTCGCTCAAGCTCCGCACGCTCAGGCTCCGCACGCTCAGGCTCAGCACCTCTAGCAGGACGCGAGTCGACAGCTACCTCGGCAGGCTCAACCGG